TTTTTGTGACACACGCTAAATTACATTCTATATCTACTCATACTTATAACTACGACTAGGCCTACTACATACGACAGGTACTTAGCTCATATGCTATGATGTAATGCAGGGGTGCCCATTACGTCGATCGCGATCGACCGGTAGCTCGCGGCCTGGTCCCAAGTCGATCGCGAGGGTTGTAGAGGACAAAAAAAACAAACAACCATTTGTGTGTCTTTGTGCATGTTAGCAATATATTTTTTGTGTTAATGTACACTGCATCCTAATCATCCTATCAGTGTCATTTTCACAATAAGTATCAAAAAAGTAAAAGAAAATCAAACAGCTAAATGTTTAACCTACGGTGGCGGGTGAACTGTGTCACCGGAAGTTGTTAGCGCTCAGCAGTCTGCAATTACAGCTTGTGATCGGAGCTGTTGCGCTGTATCTTTTAGCGTTATCATTATTCTCTTTCAGAGTTTGTTTGGTGTACAATTCACCGAGGGCATGGGCAAAGAATAGGAATCTGGAGGGCCGACGGGAGCATTTTCAAACGGTACACGTGAGCTACGATAGTTAACAGGTTGCCAAAGTGCGTCGCATGCTTCCACGTCGGGCTGTTCCTCATCATGGCGTGCGTGTGTGTGTGCACACTAACGGGTTGATCGCGGGAGGTTGGTTGATCGAAAAGTAGATCTTCAGTCAAAAAAGTTTGGGGACCCCTGATGTAATGTATCATGCAAATATATAACTATGTGTATATGTAACACAGTTTTTTTTTTTTTGTATCATTATTCATTTGGATGGGGCGGCACGGTATTCAACTGATCTGCACGTCGGCGTCACATTGCAGAGGTGATTTCGGCTCCGGCCTTTCTGTGTGGAGTGTGTGGGTGTTTTCTGGATCTTCCAGTTTCCTGCCACATTCCAAAAACATGCACGGCAGGCTGATTGAACACTCTATATTGTTCCTAGGTGTGAGTGTGAGCGCGGGTGGTTGTTCGTCTCTGTGTGCCCTGCGATTGGCTGGCAACCGGTTCAGGGTGTATCCTGCCTACTGCCCGAAGACAGCTGGGATAGGCTCCATCACCCCCGCGACCCTTGTGAGGATAAAGCAGATCAGAAAATGGATGGATGGATGAATGGATGGATATTCATTTGTATGCCCTGTGTTTGTATTTTCTTTGATTTTGCTTTGTTTGACTCTGTTATCTGCAGCCAGGTCAGCATTGCAAATGAGAATCGGTTCTTAGTTGTTTTACGTGGATAAAAAGACGTTGAAAGAGGAAATAAAAAAATAGTTTCGTCCGTCGTTGATCGTTTTTCCAACGTGACCCTACAGATTAGGAAATTCAGGTGCTTCGTATTCCATTTCAATCATGTGCAAATGCAATTTTACTGCCCTCTGTTGGTGAAAGTTATCCAGCGTCTTGTTCCAGTCGTGCCTCAATGCAGCGTTTCCCAATTTGGGTGATCTCATCTAAACGGTCAGCATGAATTTAAAAATGGCAAAGGCAGTAGTGTGCACGGAGATTCTAGTTCCTACCGTCATTAAAAATGCAAAACGTCACAGAAGGCGTTGAAGCTGCCCTGCACAGAGCCTCTAATTCCCAAGGTGCAAGTGAATTCCAAACCGAGTATTTTTTTTCCTGCAACCCTGTCTTTGCTTCTGACCCTTCAAAAGGGCCCAGAGGAAGCCGACACGATCAAGGAATGTGTGCGCGCATGCGTGCGCGTGTGAAACTCCTACTTGTTGAACTGCTGATAAGCTCTTGCCTTATCTTCACCAACATCTGCCGAACAACTGATAGCCAACAAGAAGTATCAAATTTGAGTGGCTCTCAAACGAGGGTGACCAGCCGTTGCATTTCTTATGGGGAAATATAACTTTCTGCCCTTGTTCTCAACGCCTAATACCACAACTTTTTTTCTCTCATAAAATATGAATTTTAATCGTAACAATAACCTTTTTGATACTTGGAAAATTGGCCAATGTTTTATTCCTAACACATTGAAAGGGATACATGTGGTAGCTAGGATTGATTGGCATTGGAATTATGAAGGGCTCTTGAGAAAAACGTCTCCCTAGTAAGGGTTCCCTCCACCTGGGAAGACTGAAAACTCTGCCTCAAATGTTTGACTTGGACACAATCATTAGCCAACATGATTAATGGGCCACTGAATTAGAGATGTATTTGCGTCTCCTTGATTAGGTCATGATACGGTCACGGTCTATGCAGAGGTTATTCTTCTACAGGTGTAGTAAATATGTATTTGGCATGTAATCACTACTTTTATATCCTGACAAAAGTCATTTAGGACTTTCGTTGATAAAAGGTTTGCAAACCAATTGTTTCAAAGTTAAATCGGGCAAACTTCCATACCTCATGAGGCCCCCTTTTTTCACTATGCCAATAAAGGGCATAGGGCTGTTGACACGTTACTTTGCTTGAAGACAACAAAATGAATGCAAATTTTTCAAAGTATACAGAATAAGTACCATGAATAGTGGAGTCCATCCATCCATTTTCTAATCCGTTTATCCACACGAGGGTCGCGGGCATGCTGCGACCTATCCCAGCTGTCTTCGGGCAGTCGGCGGAGGACACCCTGAACTGGTTGCCAGCCAATCGCAGGGCACACAGAGACGAACAACCATCAAATTTAGAGTGCTCCTTTAACCTGCCATGCATTTTTTTGAAAACCTACGCATGCACGGGGAGAACATGACAGACAGAATTGAACCCTGCACCTTTGCACTGTTGGGCAGACGTGCTAATCAGTTGAACAACATGCCGCCTAGTGGACTCCACAGTATTCCAATTTTTAGATAAGCAGGATAAATAGTTTATATTTAGTGACAAGTAAAGCTGTTCCATTCATCTCCGTTGTCTTAAATGACACATTTCCGGTCTGGAGTGCAGCCATTTTCACTCATTGACCAATTAGAAGTTTGACAGGTGCAGTAGACTCCTGTGCAATGCAAGAAATACAGTAGGACCAAAGTGGGGTGCTACATTCCTATGCCATAACTCCCGATCTATAGACGTCGTTGCGCACCCTCTGCTAACCTGTAGACTTCCTGGTGCAAGCCACATCTGATTTTCCTCATCAAACACAGAATATGTTTAGGCCAAAACAAGCCATCTCAGGCAGTTGAAAGAGGCTCACTACAGACTCATGAACACTCCTTGCTTCCCAAACACTCCACTGCTCCCACTCTTCTGTCCTGATGTGCCGCAACGTGCCACTGTGACCACACAGACAGAGGCGGTCCTGACTAGAAATGCGCCCCGGGCAAACCATTCCTTCTCTTGGCCCCCCTTGTCTATGCTCTGAGGCGGTTGCGTTGCATGAAGCTGGAACAACAAAAAGGTCCTCGCACAAAGTCACTAACATCCATCGCCTTGGCAACTACAACATGGAGACTCTTCATAAGGCACATTTAGTGAGATTTCTAAATGATGGATTTCTAATCGAGAAAATGGTATTGTCATTCGTATACATGTCATTCACAGCATTAGTTGACAAAAATTTAAAAAAAGGCAAAAACGCAATCACTCACACACACACACACACACACACACACACACACACACGCACACACGCACACGCACACACACGCACACGCGCGCGCACACGCACACACACACAGAGGCTTGGCGAGTAACGGAACACATGTACCCGAGTTACTATTCAGAATGCAAAAAAAAATGTAATTGGATTCCATTGCAGTTAACAGTAAAAAAGCATAATCACGTTACAGGTACATTTATTAAAAATGGGGATTATTTCGCAGGATCACATTTTCCCCGCAGACAGAGTGACGCCGTTGTTTATTTGAGCACTCAGAGCAACAAATGGATACATAGTCACAACTGTGTGGCTCACTGGGGCGCAGTGTTGGCTTGAGCAAACGGGTGTAAACGTACAGTCGGGCAGGCAGGGGGAACTGGCTGTGTCGTGTCCTCCACACGCAGAGGAAAGTAGGAAGTGATGACCGCTATTTGGAACGTACTCACTGAAGGACCGATTTATCATAATTTTCAAAGAAAAGTTTGAGCTAAAAGAGCTGCTATGATGGAGCTCGGCCGCTCGCCTGCTGCACCAAATTAAGTTTCACCTTGCGTTGCAAATCACCCACAGATTTATTATTTTGAAACCGTATTAACATTAAAAATGGCTAAACATGGGACGGGGAATAAAAGTGGTCTTTCAATTATGGTTACGTCACGTATCGTCGTTAGCTTTGCGTGTACTCACACGCAACAGAGTGTGGGGAGTGAGGTTACTGGGAAAATACTGCTGCAAATGTTGCCTTTATATCGGGGCTGGACATACTCCTACAATCCGAATTCGTTGAACTACCAACATCAGCGGACACCTTCTGGTTGGTTTTTAACTTAAAATGACGTATTTCTGTTTTAATGCCTAAAATGTTTTAACTTACTATGACCTATTTCTGTTTTAATGCCTAAAATTGCAGCGCCCGTTTCTTTGAATTAACACGTTGGCCAGAAATTCATGTATTTTGACGAATTTTAAAGATTCATAACTTTCTTAACACCGCATGGTTTGCATTCATGACGGGGGTGGTCACAAGCTTTAGAAGTCACACATGAATGGAAGCTATTTGTTGTTTTACCGAGTACGTCTCATCTTCTCCTTATTATCACATTCATGAAGTTGACGAATAGCAAATCAGTGCTATTCTCGACGGAAAATCGAGTCGGGCCAGTTCCAGGTGGAAACAAAACCAAGACGCCCAAAATGTATTCTCGAGACCGGTCTGGAGAGTTACAACACTTCTATCACAGCAATTGCCCTAACAACATCTATCTGACAATGATGGTCTCGTGAAATGTATATGCACACAAAATTCCTCCAGAAGACACACGTGTGGGTTAGTTTCGACACTGCCGACCGAGCAAAAAAAGAAGAGAGCCAGTCGGTTCCCTTGACTCCTTAAATTTTGTTTTGTTCTTCCTCTGCGGAGCTGCATCGCTCAGCGAGGACGTCCCACCCGTGAGCCTCAAGAACTTCCGGCTGGGACTCGTCGGTGAGTGTTAGGGTACAGAGCCACATTTAACCCGGAGAAAGGGGACAAAGGCAACGGTAAGTCTCGCGCCATTATTTCAAGCGACACTTTGATTCAAGCAAGCATTGATGGTGCCTCGCTTCCATTGTCCTGCTTTTTGAATTCCACGTGAAGCGCACCGATCTGATCGCTTCTATAACAAAGACCGACCAGCGGTACATGCAAAAACACAATACAACGTTTGCATTTCGATAAAAACTCGGAGAGAAATGTACTTTGAATCGGAAAAATGAAATCGAATTTTGCATTGTCCTTTTCATTGTGTTCCGTTCCTGCAAGTCTGTGTAATAACGCGTGCATGCACGTGTAGTTGTGGCCGCTGGTCTTGCGGACTTCGTTTGGCGACCAGTCATTTTATCACTCCACTTCAAGCAAGTAGAGAGAGCCACAAAATAGAAGCATCGCACCGTTCGCTTGTACAACTTTTTACAAGGCGTTGTCAACTTCGACTCAAGTTAGTCTTTAGTTAACTAATTTTCTCCTTCTGATTTTTGGATGGGGTCACCGGCGTTATTACGAATCCCACTTGTGTTGTAGGCAGGGTGGCGCGAGATGCACGTTCCAAATAGGGACATGTTTGTACAGAATCCAAATAATAAAGCTAGTTTGGGTTGCCGTTAGGGTAAGGGTGGTTTCGATTGGATTCACAATAACGCTGCAACACTCAAATCAGATTTTTCTTTTCGCGCCAGGAAGCAATTGGTCGTAACTTGGCGAGATGCAGCAGCCAATCATATACAGCGGCATGTGTCCTGCAGCCAATCACACACGTAGAACGCGTCCTGCCTGGAAAAGCAGTGGGATTCATTATAATACTGCACTGGTTTGGGGGGGGGGGGTCGCGGTCAAAATGTATTCAACCTCGCGATACTTCAACTACGCATTTTGAGTGAGCTGGCACGGTACTATGGTAGGTCAGTGCGTCCGCCATATTTGATGTGGCAGATCTGCTCGTAAATTCACGCAAGTCTGAACTGCAGAGAAATTCCAACAAAGTGCAAAAGGTTAATGCCCTTCCTTCACCCATCCCTCCACTCCCACAAGAACACACTAACACTCGTGGGGAAAAAGATCAGGTATAAGTAGAAATCGAGTTTAATCGTCTTTACTTACGTTTAAGGAAAAAAAAAGTGAAAAAACAAATACTGTCACTGATTTTTAATATCAGTTTTTATAACTTTGCACAGCAATAAAATTAGTTTACACAATATACACACGCACACACACACACACACACACACACACACACACACACACACACACACACACACACAAGATCATTTTCACAATATCACTTTTTAGAACTTTTCACAATAATAAACTCACTTTACACACAAAATACACAACATAAAACAAAACAAAACAATTCCTTTATAATCAGGAGGTGGACGGAAAATATTGTGCTTCTCAGAATTTGTCAATAATGCTCCGTTTCACATTCCTCCATGTTTCTGTTCCCGTTTTTTCCCCCCATTTTAGAAGTCACTAAGAATCTCTCAATCGATTAAAAATCAATTAACGTTGTATTTTAATGTCAGTTGACTTACTCTCTCTGTATTTACGTTTTTTTTTTGTTTTACATTGTGTCATCATTCATGGAGGTTTAAAATAAGTGATAATGAAAGACATTGCAGATGTTTTATTTAATGGAGGGGTTAGAATTAAAAAGGTTTTAGTTGGTGTCTCTATTCGGTTGTTAGCCAACATCCAATTAATTTTCCTTTCATCAAAATTTAAGGACACAATTTTTTTTTAAGTTTCGAAGTCAATAAAGATTCCTTCTAATAATCATGATTTTTTTTCCCACAATCATCCAGCCCTATTCTCCTTACAGTGAAACTCCTCTAGAACGAAACCTACATGGGCGAAAATACCCCCTTATGTGAAAAAATCTTCATGCAGTAACACAATTCCCATTCTCCTGCCCCCCATACGACGAAAACCCCCCTGTTGCGTTAAACGAAATCATTTTCTCTGCTCTAGCCTCGCGAAGACATTCACTACAACGAAGTCTAATCCAACAGTGACCTCTACTGCTTTGTTCAGAAACGGCAGCAGCAACCACCACACTGGTTTACATAGTGAACGACGTTTATTTCGGTCACAGCTGCGAGTTTCCTGGACTCAACATACTCATAGCTGCTCTGCCATTGGCTTACCGAGCATCATCCTGGCCTCCGATTGGCCAAGAGGGACCTCACTGTCTATGTGTGTAGATACTGAAGCTTGATCCGTAGCATCCGATTGGCTGCTAATGCTAAATTGCTTATGGCTCGACGGACATTCAAATAAACGAACGTTTCCTCGAATGCTTTACTTGTTATCATGCTAAAAACAGCCACGGGACACTTCGTAGTCCTCGCTGGCCATAGTTAGCTCTCGAAGGCTAAAAACCTTACGCTAACTGGAGCGCTTCTCTCTCATTAGCGCT